ACGGAAATCCTTTCGCGCCACTGTAGTGTCGGTGTTAATGTATAGTGCCATTGCTTAGACATTAACTAAAACCCTTGAGTCTAAGATTGATGGAACTTACACCCGAGAACTATGCTGAGAACTATGTTTAACTATGCTGATAACATCCAAATAAATCACAGTTCTACAGACCGATCCATGATATTCTACAATCTTACGTAAATGCAGAAGGTGCTTTGCAGGACATAGTTGGCGAGCAAAACAAAAAACGTGCGAGTGATCTACTGCTCTGGACACCTAGCTATAGCTCAAGACGGGTTGGTCGCCGTACAACCATGTGCATTGATCATAGCTCACTTACCGGCTGCTGTATACATGTCGTTTTATTCTTTCTCGCTTACCGGCACTGGATACTCCTTATTTCATTCTTTCTCTTTTACCGACCTCTGTATACTCTTTATTTCATTCTTTCAAGTTTATCTGTCCTGTATAATCCTTGTCTCCATTCTTTCTCTCTTAACGGACCCTGTATACTCCTTGTTTCATTATTTCTCTCTTAACGGCCCCTGTATACTCCTTGTTTCAATCTTTCTCTCTCAACGGCCCCTGTATACTCCTTGTTTCAATCTTTCTCTCTCACCGGCCTCTGTATACTCCTTATTCCATTATTTCTCTCTTACCGGCCCCTGTATACTCATTTTCCATTATTTCTCTCTTACCGGCCCCTGTATACTCCTTGTTTTATTCTTTCTCCCTTACCGCCCCTGTATACTCCTTGTTTCATTCTTTCTCTCTTACCGGCCTCTGTATACTCCTTGTTTCATTCTTTCTCTGTCACCGGCCCCTGTATACTCCTTGTTTCATTCTTTCTCTGTCACCGGCCTCTGTATACTCCTTGTTTCATTCTTTCTCTATTTCCGGCCTCTGTATACTCCTTTTTCATTCTTTCTCTCTTACCGGCCCCTGTATACTCCTTTTTCATTATTTCTCTCTTACCGGCCCCTGTATACTCCTTGTTTCATTCTTTCTCTCTTACCGGCCCCTGTATACTCCTTGTTTCATTATTTCTCTCTTACCGACCCCTGTATACTCCTTGTTTCATTATTTCTCTCTTACCGACCCCTGTATACTCCTTTTCCATTATTTCTCTCTTACCGGCCCCTGTATACTCCTTGTTTTATTCTTTCTCCCTTACCGCCCCTGTATACTCCATGTTTCATTCTTTCTCTCTTACCGGCCTCTGTATACTCCTTGTTTCATTCTTTCTCTGTCACCGGCCCCTGTATACTCCTTGTTTCATTCTTTCTCTGTCACCGGCCTCTGTATACTCCTTGTTTCATTCTTTCTCTATTTCCGGCCTCTGTATACTCCTTTTTCATTATTTCTCTCTTAAAGACCCCTGTATACTCCTTTTTCATTATTTCTCTCTTACCGGCCCCTGTATACTCCTTGTTTCATTCTTTCTCTCTTACCGGCCCCTGTATACTCCTTGTTTCATTATTTCTCTCTTACCGACCCCTGTATACTCCTTGTTTCATTATTTCTCTCTTACCGACCCTTGTATACTCCTTGTTTCAATCTTTCTCTCTCACCACCCCTGTATACTCCTTGTTTCAATCTTTCTCTCTCACCGCCCCTGTATACTCCTTGTTCCATTATTTGTCTATTACCGGCCCCTGTATACTCCTTGTTTCATTCTTTCTCTCTTACCGACTCCTGTATACTCCTTGTTTCATTCTTTCTCTATTTCCGGCCTCTGTATACTCCTTGTTTCATTCTTTCTCTCTTACCAGCCCCTGTATTCTACCTGTATTCTATCCTGTTGGGAATTTATATATACATATATATATATATATATATATATATATATATTGACCACTAATATTATCTATATCTATATATATAAATGTAAAAGTGAACATAGAAGTCAACACTTAGAGGCGACAGTCTGATACAAGTATTTAAGTAAATGCTCTGTTTATAATAAACAGTATTAAACAACATTTACCGGCCTCAATGTCCGAGAAATTTTCACAGAAAATATTCCTCCTCCGACAGGATTCGAACCTGTATCCTATACGGAACCGTCATTTAGCTTGACGTGCCTTTAACCGATTTGGCCACAGAGGACCGTTCGGTTAGCAAGATCGAATTTACTGTTTTAAACTTCAATTTTCAATGAATCTCTCACGTACATTCATATTTGCTCATGGCATATCAGATGTAAGTAAATGACGTCACACATTATGAAATGGACAAAGTTCGACAATTATTTTAAGACATTTTTATGTTTATACATTCTTTTTATAGATACGGAAGACGAATATTTTCTGTGAAAATTTCTCGGAATTCAAGCCGGTAAATGTTGTTTAATACTGTTTTACATTTTTAATAAGAGTGGGAATCGCTGGCCGTAATTAAATTAGAGAGGTACAATTTATAGGGTTTGATACCAAACAAGTATTATGCGTGGGTAGAAGCATTTTCCTATAATTTCATCCCAATTTTATGAGAGCGTATTTTGGATGAAGGCGTATTATACTTGGAGAATTACGGTACTTCTTTATGATATAATATATAAACTGCACACTCAAATATATAATTTCATTAAATTAACATCTCTCTCCTACTATCAAACTCACCTTATTTAACAGTAGATACGGAGTGTTAAAAGTTTTTTTGTTATTTTTAATAGAAAGATGCTCACAAGAAATCCAGTGGCGCGCAGTGGGTCAAGGTTCGGAATGAACGCTACTATTCAAAACAACACAAAAATAAATTACACCATGAGTTAAAAAATAATAACACCAGAGATAAAGCACTTGGGGCGATAAAAAATATGAAAATTTTTTGTACTTCCTAACTTCGACTAAACGGAAAAAAACTTAGGATGCTGGAAAAACTTCATAAAAAATGAATTAGATATTCCTTGTCGGCCGCATTTAATGAAAAATTCTTGAAAGAAAGGTTGCTGCCCAAATACACACACACACACACACACACATATATATATATATATATATATATATATATATATATATATATATTTTCTGTCTTTATTTTCTCCAGAAACTAAAGCGACTATACAAGCTTAGAACGGCTCATGATCAAACATAATAGACATTCGCTGTTTGTTATATTTAACAATATATGTTTGAAAATATATATATATGTGTGTGTGTGTGTGTGTCTGTGTGTATATGTGTGTGTGTATATATATATATGTGTGTGTGTGTGTGTGTGTGCATATATATATGTGTGTATATATATATATATATATATATGTGTGTATATATATATATGTATGTGTGTATATATATATATATATGTGTGTATATATATATATGTGTGTGTGTATATATATATATATGTGTGTGTGTGTTTGTATATATATATATATATATATATATATATATATATATATGTGTGTGTGTGTGTGTGTGATGTTGGGGAAACTTGAAACCGTAAAAGGCTTCTTCCTCTGACAGAATGAGATTATTTATTTTCGACAGACGTTTCATATTTGGCGAGACATGGGAAACGACTCGTAGCGTGATAAATGAACAGTGTGATCAGTCTGTTCAGATTTCCCGAATTGTGTGCTAACACTTCGTGTGTGAGATAGGGAAGGTGTTTGTGCAAGTGCCCATGAAGTCCCAATCTAGACAGGTACCTAATTGAGTGTGTGTGTGTGTGTGTGAAAAAGATACAAGCGGAGAGCCTTCCCCCTCCCCATCCACCTTCTCTCGCAACCTCACCCTTTCCTCCACCCCCGTCCATTTTGCACCACCCCCTGAAACCACCTCCCGCTTCTTCCTTAGCACCACAAAAGAACAATAACAACAATCACAAAAATTGCCCAGTCTCATTTCACAGATGGTTTGGTAACAACCCGAATATCGTAGTTTATCAGAAGGGGCCAGACTATAGACATGCAACCGTGTAAACAGATGAAATACCGCGTCTGAAGCCAGCTGTGAGAGCACTGATAATATACTGTGAGGGTTACGAAAGGGTTCTGTGATTGGGGAAGTTCGGGTGCGGCCAGAGATATGATTTTAAAGAAAGAAGAAAACGAATGAAGGCTATTACGCCACTGCCCGAGTAATGTTACCACCACCACCACCACCACCACCACCACCACCACACCACCACCATACAACAAAGTCAAATACGATAGACATTCTTGTAGAGAGCGTTGATTTTTGAACTCTTAAGCTTTTTTACGGTTTGTTTGCTTTCCCGGAGCGGGTAGGGTAGGGTTTGATTGTGTAAGATTACACACATAACAGTAAGAGAGCTACGCTCATCTATCTATCTATCTATCTATCTATCTATCTATCTATCTATCTATCTATCTATCTATCTTCCAGTGGTCCTTATCTATCTATCTATCTATCTATCTATCTATCTATCTATCTATCTATCTATCTATCTATGTATTTTCTGTCTGTCTTTTTTTCTGTCGCTGTTCCTTGTGCATCTATCCATCTTTCTGCCTGTCTATTTTCAGTCTCCTCGATATTTCTCGCATATGTGTATATTCATCTTTCAGTTTGTCTGTATTTCTGTCTCTCCCTCTCTCTCTCTCTCTCTCTCTCTCTATATATATATATATATATATATATATTAAAGGATATACATTATATCCAACGTCGATAAGACTATTAGGCCTTTCATGCAGTTAATGCAATCTTCAGGTGTGAATTCACAACTGAAGATTACATTAACTGCATGAAACGTTGAGTAGTCTTATCGACGTTGGATATTCACTAATATATACTTATAGCTCTGTTTCATAACATTGAGCACTATTTTTATAACACCTTAGGAATAAATATACTTACGTACGAGCAAGTACTTGAGCCTATATGTATATTTTTCTATTCATTTCTATATATATTTCCTGAATAGATTTCCTTCCCCGTAAAAAACTAATTTCATCGCTAATTTTTCTCAGAATTGCTATCGTCGCCATTTTTATCAGATTGAGTTCCGAAAACTTCCAGTTTTTTCTTTGACCTCAAAATTCCCTCTTTTAAAACCTTTTCAAGACATTCGCAAAATGTGCTTGCACCTACTGTATTCATAGCATAGCTTCCGTAATGCTAACCTTCCACTGCATTTTTCCCAATTGAATAAGAAAAGTAAATGGTTTCAAATGTCTATTTGATATTCAGCTCTTTCATTTTTTTTTAAGAAAACAAAGTAAAATTATCGCTTTTCCAAAAACGGTCCTTAAAGAATGAGCTTTTAGAATTGATAAAGAACTGAATAACAATTCAACAGCACTTTTAAGATTTCTCTAACATTGTACAACAATGGCAATTACATCACAATAGAACTTCAGTCTGATTTGGTGGAAATAGTTTTCCATGGGATCAGTGTTTGAAGTCAAATAAAAACCAGGATTTGAAACGCCGATTTTTCTAAGTAGGCAGACTACCATGCTATTATCATAAGGAAAGCTGAGGTAACACAAGAAGAGCCAGATCAAAACGTAAAATGGAATCCAATTCCAGAGCCTTCTCACTTCTGCTGAAGGAACACCCTTCCTGATTGGCCATATTTTCAGGGGTATAGCCGTACTCACCACGTTTGTCGATTTGCCAGTTGGTGATACTATTTAGCACATAGTTGGAGGTTTTCAGTTCGGAATTGTTCTTCTCCAAAACAGGTTGCCACCCAAGGTTATAGGATCCAGTCTCTCCTGCTATTCATCCAGAGCAGGAGGGAGAAGAGATGGAGTCATACCTTTCCCGAGGGTATTGACATCTAAGTGGATATAAAGAACTCTACTCCAATTCCTCAATCAAACCCGCTATCCATTACTCCACCGTGTCTGCTGTTATATCTGGGCTGGAGCTGCCCAATTTTAACTTTCCATCACTAACTTCAAAAGCGTCTACGTAGCCTTGACGGCGATGGATTATTTTCAACCCTAACCACCCCCACTTCTCACGTTGATAATCTCTTGCAACTCTATCGCTATTTTTATGGCAGATGTCCGGGCTAACAAAATTCCTTACTTCTAGCTGTCCAGATCTACCAGATCTTAGTTCTACCGGTTCATATCTTCACAACTTGGACCCGCTACGTCAGTCCGGATATAGTATTGTAAATACTGGATTAAAGTAGTTGTTTTTCTTTGTCAGCTCACTTCAAGAATCCTATTCGTACCATTTAAACCAGTACTTCCTGGCACATTGTCAAGTCATAGGCAAACAAACCGGTTTCTCCAATCAGAATTTTTTAGAGGGTCTCTGAACACACAGCAAGATTTTTTTTTTTTTAATCAATGGACGGATGAACGTTCTTGTCGTGTGAACGGTAATTTAACCCAAACGGTGAGACTGAGATCCATAGCTATGTAAACAGGCAGTGCCGTTATGATACCTAGGACTGGAGTCAACGGCTAAGGTTCAGGGTGCCCTTTATGGAATTAGCATTCACGCGATCGAGACGAAGGCGACCACTGCTAGTCAGAGCAAATCGTTTGTGGTTTGACCTTGAGAGGAATGGGCTCCTCCTAGCCTCCTTACCTAAGGCAGGCAACACACAAATGAATAGCTCTCCGGCTTTCAATCGAGGTTTGTGGAGGGAATTGCTTAGGTCCTTAGATGCACATCGACCCTATAACCATATGTGGATGATAATCACTATAATGATGCTGAAAGCGATTTAATAAGCGTAGCTTGGGTGTGATACAAGGCCGGAAGTATGGCGCATCCAGTGAGGATTATACTAACTACTCAGTCAAAATTCATTTAACAAGTAAAACTTGCTATTACGCCACGTCGTAGGGTCCATATGGTGATTTTCAAAGCGTAGTTTAGATGGGGCACATGCGTTAAAGTATGGAGCACCCAATGAGATTCAAACTCACTACTCAGTCGTAATTGACCTAGAAGACAATCTCGTTACCCATTACAACACGTCGAAGCGCCCAAGTCGTTGTATACATCAGAACTGGTGACAAAACAAAAAACCCAAGATATTGAACGCTGACTTTCAAGGATAGTTGGGTGTACCCACCTGGAAAGTCCTGCTTGTATTTACCCTGATATTCAAGACACTTATACTTGAAAGATTGGCGCGTCACAATCTTCCTTCTACTTTATTTTGACTTTGTGTACTCAGCTAGGCAAGGAATAGCAGTAAAACAGGTCTCTCAGATGATAAATCCTTAGCATCTTTTCATACGTCTACAGACAATAACATCACAATGACATACTTGACATTGTATAGACTTAACTCATCACGAAATAAATACTACATCAAAGCAATATAGTGACAGTATAGGTCTTCTTCCTAGATTAAAATTCTTGTCTATGAAATATGGATATCGTTTATTACTTTTTTCTCACTTCTTTCATTTTGTCGCTAGTGAATTTAACCTATGCAGTGAGACGACCTTCAGAGAAATAGAATCCTTACCAAGTTTTATTATCGGCGGTCATAATCTTAACAACATAAAATACTCAGATGACACTCTGCTGATTGGTGACTACAAAACTACAAAAACTACAAGCGAACGAAGCAAAGACACGGCTAACCATTAACTTGAAGAAAGAAAGCATTGTCGTCAGTAAGAGGTGTAGCCGGTGGGAGCTTCAAGTTGGAGACAGAAGCAAGTGCCGTATTTTTCAGTGGATAAGACACGCTTTTTATAGATTTAAGCATAATAAAGTATTATGAGTGAATGAGTAATTTGGAAAATCACTCTCTTCTATCTGGGTAATCTTTTTCTTTTCTTTTTTTAATACTCTTAACATAATGTCCCTTCAGGACCGATGCAGTTACAACTTTCTATTTCATTATTATCTGTGAATTACCAAGACTTCTTGAGAAATATAGTGGCTTCATTTCCTATTGTTTTCTATATGGTTTTGAATTCAGAATATTTCTTCTCGTATAATAGTGGTTGCCATCCAAGGCTAGAGATCCCAGTCTACACTACTACTTAACCCATTGTTAGGAAGAGGAGAGATTCATGATTTACGTAAATATGAAAGTGAATACCGCAGACTAAACCAGAATTTGAACTCTGATCACCAGATCCACTTTACCTGATGATAACCATCACAACAAACCTTCTATATTACTCAGTTACCAGTTGTTGTAAATTCTCAAGAACAATAAGGTATAATCAAATAAAGCAAAACAAAAAAGAAAGAGTCGACTTACCATTAACTTGAAAAAGACAGAAAACTTTGTCGTCAGCAAGAGGTATAAACAGTGTGAGGATCGATTTGGAGACATAAATAAGTACCGTATTTTTCAGTGGATAAGAGACACTTTTTTTTAACCACAAAATGTGATGTCGAACTCTCGTCACCGAAGCTGTGAATAATATATAAAAAATCAAACAAAGAAAAAAATATATATAAAAGCTGATAAGGCAGAAACATGACTGATTTAACAAGTTAAATGTTACCTCTGAATATTTCTATTAACAAATCCCCTTAATAATTTAATGTGAAAAATAGAACAAGTGGAAACAGAAAAAAAATGTTCCTGTGACATCTACTGGACGAAGGACAATACCGAAGCTTCTTCGGGGGTGTATATGACTGAAGAATTCGTTGGAAATAATAAGAAGTGGTTTACGGCCATCATCATAATTATTTGACACCCCTCCTATGGTTGGTTGGAACTCCATTGACAATCAATTTCCACACTGTTCGGTCCTGTCTCAGATCCCCAATGTCCAACCTTGAGTCCCGAGTTATGGTGTCTGGGAAAGTCAATTTTCCTGGGAAGACACTTCCAGAAGGATACCATAGGAGTAAGGATGAGACGATTTCCTTGTCTGTCCGGTGGCAGTGTCCGGCAAATTGGAATCGTTTTTGTTTGAGCTTAAGAGAGATTGGTCTTAGTTCTCCATTAATTGTGTTAAGCGTTGCATGGGATCTCCAACTGATGTTCTGGATTTTTCTAATTAGATTTGTATATGTTCCATCTAGTCTCCTTTAAAAAAGAACAGATAATGTTCAAGTGTCTTATCTATACAGTAGATACAGTTTTGAAAAGTTTGGACGTTTAAGGGTGTTAGATGATTCGAGCGTCAAATCTTGTCAAATTTGTTACAAATTTGGACTCTATCGAGAGTAGGAAAATGAATGGATGGTAGAGCAGCGGGGAAATGGAGTGATGAAAAATTCAAACGTTGCTGAAATCACTGTTGTTATTACGACAAAGTTTCGGCCGTTGTGCGCTCCGGTCTACTTTAGGCAATTTCACTACAAGTAGATATTGCTGGTAATTTTATATAAAAAAAAATATTGCCTATCAATCAGTGTAACCGTTAAGGTATTTCGAATCGGTGTAACCATTAAGGTATTTCAAATCGGTGTAACCGTTAAGGTATTTCGAATTGGTGTGACCGTTAAGGTAGGTATTTCGAATCGGTGTAACCGTTAAGGTATTTCGATTCGGTGTGACCGTTAAGGTATTTTGAATCGATGTATACGTTAAGGTATTTCGAATCAGTATGACCGTTAAGGTATTTCGAATCGGTGTGACCGTTAAGGTATTTCGAATCGGTGTGACCGTTAAGGTATTTCGAATCAGTATGACCGTTAAGGTATTTCGAATCGGTGTGACCGTTAAGGTATTTTGAATCGATGTATACGTTAAGGTATTTCGAATCAGTATGACCGTTAAGGTATTTCGAATCGGTGTGACCGTTAAGGTATTTTGAATCGGTGTAACCATTAAGGTATTTCAAATCGGTGTAACCGTTAAGGTATTTCGAATTGGTGTGACCGTTAAGGTAGGTATTTCGAATCGGTGTAACCGTTAAGGTATTTCGATTCGGTGTGACCGTTAAGGTATTTTGAATCGATGTATACGTTAAGGTATTTCGAATCAGTATGACCGTTAAGGTATTTCGAATCGGTGTGACCGTTAAGGTATTTCGAATCGGTGTGACCGTTAAGGTATTTCGAATCAGTATGACCGTTAAGGTATTTCGAATCGGTGTGACCGTTAAGGTATTTTGAATCGATGTATACGTTAA